CCCCGCAGCTCCGTGCGGGGTTTCTGCAAGTCATCCGAGGCGGGGGGTTGGGGGGGGCTGCCCCGCGCCCCTGCCCCGCGCTGCCCGCCCGGTTCCTTCGGGGCTGTTCGGTTGGGATGGATTTCTGTGTTTCCCCGCCCCCATCGTGCTGCGCGTGTCGGGTTTTCTCACCGCCCGCCTCGCTGAACTTTCCCGTGGGTCGGTGCAGCCGCTGAGGTCCCCGCGGATGGAGCTCAGGGCGGCTCTGCCTGCGCTGCCCCTCGCGGGCCCGGGCTCCGGGTGCCTGGCTGTGCTCCCAGCGCCCCGGCCTCCTGCTTTCCCTCCGCAGCAGCTGTGCAGTCACTGCAGCCAAGGTAAGACCTTCTGCCCTCATCTGCATGTCTGCATTAGGTGTTTCTTTAAAGACGAAGTTTGTGTTCTCCTCTAAACGGTGCAGTCGTATCTAGTCCTCCCATTGAGCAGTTCTTGTGAAAGAGAAGCTTAGAACTGTCAAAATAAATGAACAGAGCTGTTTAGCAGGAGCTCCAGCCTGGCTTTCCAAACGGATCTGCTTTCTTGGTTGCAGCTTCTGTGATGGTTGAAAGAGTAATTTGTGCCTTACTTTGTTTTGCCTTCTGACAGACCTGTGAATGACCATGGGCTTGGCTTGACCTTGATTTTGATGGCTTTGTTGGAAGATCTGCTGATGTGGTTGCATTTCTGGAAGTGATTGTTCTCCTGCCTCCCTGGCTTGGGGTTTAAGCCACTTCTGCCACACTGTCACTCATGGACAATTCCCATTTTTGTTTTCAACAAACCTTTTGGCTATTTTGCTTTTCTCCTTTTCCCTTTCCCTCCCTTCCTCCCTAACGCTGGGAGCCTGATTCTGTACTTGGATGTGACTGATTGTCCTGCTGCTTCGTGCTGCTGATTTCTGCTCCAGAGCACAATGGCTCTAAGTGGCAACTGCAGGACTTACCTGCCTGCCCGGGAGCAGGGGACTGGGCTGCCCTCCTTCCCAGAGGTGGTGGAGCTGAACGTGGGTGGCCAGGTTTACTTCACTCGCCACTCCACCTTGGTTGGCACCCCTCACTCCCTGCTCTGGAAAATGTTCACCCCAAAGAGAGACGCAGCCAACGACCTGGCCAAGGACTCCAAGGGAAGGTTCTTTATCGACAGAGATGGTTTCCTTTTCCGCTACATTCTGGACTATCTCAGGGACAAGCAGGTGGTTCTACCCGACCACTTCCCAGAGAAGGGGAGGCTCAGGAGGGAGGCTGAGTACTTCCAGCTCCCAGACCTGGTCAAACTCCTGACTCCTGATGACAACAAGCCAAGCCCCGACGATTATTGCCACAGTGACTACGAGGAGGTGTCCCAGGGCAGCGACACGAGAATCTGCCCCCCCCCGTCGCTGCTGCCGCCCGACCGCAAGTGGGGCTTCATCACCCTCGGGTACCGCGGCTCCTGCACCGTTGGCAGGGAGAGCCAAGCAGATGCCAAGTTCAGGAGGGTCCCGAGGATTTTGGTTTGTGGAAGGATTGCTCTGGTCAAAGAGGTCTTTGGAGAAAGTCTGAATGAAAGCAGAGACCCAGACAGGGCTCCAGAAAGGTACACCTCCAGGTTCTATCTCAAGTTCAAGCACCTGGAGAGGGCGTTTGACATGTTGTCTGAGTGTGGATTCCACATGGTGGCCTGTAACTCCTCGGTGACAGCTTCCTTTGTCAACCAGTACACAGATGACAAGGTCTGGTCCAGCTACACTGAATATGTCTTCTACCGTAAGTACCAGACATTTCCCAGGGAAATGCAACTGCCTGTTTTAAGCTTCTCTCTGCTACTGACTGTCCAGCCCTCCAAGCACGGAGGGCAAATTTCCTTGTGCCTGCTGAGGACCGAGGCTTTGCTGAGCTTCAGTTGAAGCTCTGGAAAGGTGAAACAGGGCTGAGCAGGGTGCTGGGCAGGGGCAGCAGGGGCTGCAGGAGCACCCTGGGGTCCCTGCTGCCCCGGGGGGGCGGGGGGCAAACGCGCTGCGGGGCTGGGGCAGAGCATCTTCGGGTGGGATTCCAGTGACGGGTAATAGCTGCGTGGTAACAGTCGAGCACAGGCAGCCAAGCCATCTGTCAACAAACCTGACACACACACGCACAGAGGGAAGGGAAAAGAGAATCCCCCCCCCCGGCTGCTCCCACAGCCCCCCCGGCACCGCTGTGCTGTGACATGAGGGCTCGGAGTGCGGGAGCCAAGTGCCTGTGCCTTGTTATGCAACACGGCTGTGGAAAACAAACTATCCTCACGATGGGAAGGACCTGCCCTGCTTACTGCAATCACAGCAGATCCCCTCCTGATGTGGTAATTTCAGCTGATGGCTCCGGCAGGCTCATTCACTTCTTAAGTTGATATTCGGGTAGAGGCACTGTTACCAACAGTAACACGAGGGTGATGTTGACTCTGTAATTCTGCAACAGCAAATCCTTCCACAACTACTGTGCTTATATATTTGAGAGGTTCGTGAGGCTGGTTTTCCTCCATTTTCATTTCAAGAGGGTGAAGCAGGGAACATTTCCCTGGTCCTGGATGGGCTTTAGGCAGCTGCTGCTCTGGCCAAGGGCTGTGGGGAAGAGCAGTGCTCTGCCCTGGGTGCTGTGCTCACAGCTGGCAGGCTGGGGCACATGGGGAGCTGACAAAAGTTTTAGGTGGAAGATGGATCAGGAAGGGAATAGTTGGTGTGTGATGCTGCCTTCAGCACCATCTACTCTTGTGTCTGGGCTCAACAGGCAGCTCTAATCTGCTTATGTAAGGATGCTTAAGTTAGCATCCTGAGGAGCCATCTGTATTCTTGACATGCATAGATTTACTTAAAATTAGTTTTCTCACTGGATTTCTTAGCAAAATGGTTCTAAGGTCATGGATCTGCTTATATTCCATATGGTTGATTTTTTGTTATTAGGCTCCTTGTGGTCGAAATCATAGAGTCCTGTACAAGTTACAGGAGGAGAATTAATATAGTTAAAGGAATGCATTAAAAGAAATCTCATTTGCATTCTTATTTAAGACCAGGAAAAAATGTGAGTTCTTTCTGGGCATGATGGTTTGCTAATTGAAGAGAGGATGAAGGTGGGTTTTGCATGAGTTAACAACCAGACTCCTGGTTTTGATATTACTGGAATTTTTACCTTCAAGGATTGCTCCTTGCTGCCATGTCACTCCAGCCTGGCAGGAATAAGGTACCGAGCTGAGAGGTGCCTTACAGGCTTTTGGAGAGTGAAAGTCTATAGTGGGTGTCACAAAATCACTTCTCACCAATGCAGGGAAGGCCCAATCCAGTTAAAGTTCCTGGAAAGACTCTCATACAGCTCAACAGGTTTTGCATTTGGCTCATATCAGCTTTGTGGATTTTGACACGGGTACAGTCTGAAGATGGATTTTTCAAAGGGCCCTTCCCTAAGTAAAAGCTAAAGCAGGGACCATGATGCCAAATCACTCTCTTTAATCTCAGCCCCTGGTGCTGTGTGCTTGCTGGGACAGAGCTGCTGCTGGGCTGCTGAGTTTCTCTGGCCACGTGCTCGGGGCCTGGCTGCCATCAGCTCACCTGAGAGCAGGCACCACCTGTACAGAACTCACCTGGAGCCACAGACGCCCCTTTCCGAAGCTCCTGAGGACATTCCCTTTGGAACTTAGAGGACTGGTAAAACTGACATCTGGCTTTCCAGTGGAACACTGCAACTTCTCTGCAGCTGCCTGGCTGTAATTAGAAGCTGCCAACTGTGCCTGTGTAAGCATTAACTCAGAGCTGTTGTGATCAGGTTAATGGTCCTGAACATGGGAGGTGTCTCAGGCAGATGGTTGGGCAGGCACAGAAGTGGTTTGGTAGCTCCTGCTGCTCCACAGCTGAGGGACCCTTCCGGGTGGGGAAAGGGCCATTGTTTGCAAAGGAGGAAGAGTAGAGGGAGGGACAGCTTTTTGATACACCAGATACTTTCTGTCCTCCTTACCCAGAAGGTAAACCTGTGGTTGGCATGAAGATACAGAACATTCTTCGTGTGCAAATCCTTTTGAAAGCAGCTCTGGTGGCCGGCGGGGGGGGGAAGCTGGGGGTGTGGGAGCTGGGGGTGTGGGAGCTGGGGGTGTGGGAGCTGGGCAGCTGCTCACATGGGCACAGTGTGTGCTGCTACCAGCGCTGCACCATCAACACTGCATGAGGTTTTCTCCCCCTGTCCCCAGGTAGGTGCTATTAAGGCTAATGGGAGGTCCAGGGTCCCTGTGGAGCTGTTCCCGAAAGGCAGGGCAGGCAGAGCCCGGCGCAGCAGAGCTGCAGCTGTGCTGAGTGGGTGGCAGGATGGGCTGCAGAGCACTCAGGATGACAGTGCAATCCTGGGAGAGCAGCCGGGCTCCAGCACAGCCCCAAGCAGGCCAGTGCAGAGCAGGGTTTGGGGACAGGCTGGGAGGGTCCTGAGAGCCCGAATGGGGGGACAGGACTGACAGCCCAGCTCCTGCTCACCCCTGGGCTAGGAGTTAAGGGTGTCAGGTTCTGCTCGTGCATTTTCCTTCTCTGATGTCAAAGGTGTTTATAGAAGTTTTATACCGGCTAAGGTTGGATTTCTGACTTGGTTTTGTGGAGTTTTCCCCCTCCTTCTGTTGTTTTGATGATCAGGAAGTAAAACCTCATCTTCAAACTCTCTCGTTTCTGGGAAGGGTGATAGCCTGTGCTTGGATCTTCATTTTTAAATGTTTTCAACACTTAGAGTGGGATGAATCAAAAATGTGCACTTGAACATCTGTGAGTTGCTGTGGCAGGGGCTGGGGTGGTGCAGCATATGGGCTGGCTCAGCCCTTTGTAGCCTGGCCCCGTTCCTGCCTTGGCAGCTCAGCCCTCACCTCCCCTCTTAACCTACCAAGCAGCCCCTCCTGCCTGCTCTGCCCTGGCAGGTGGACGCTGTGGTTGCTGGAAGGACAATATCACAGGTTGGAAGCAGAGAGGGCTGGAGCCTCAGGCAGCAGGTCAGCAACACGGCAGGTCGTGTGGCTGTGTCTGCTGAGCAGTGGGGAGCAGGGGGACGTGGCAATGGGATGGGGAGGGGAGAAACTCCTTGGCAGACCCTGAGTGCAGATCACTATTGCCCAAGCCCCGCGATGTCACATCCCTTGTCTCTGCTTGTCAGGGCTCTCAGAGCACCTTGACCCCGATTTATCACCCCTGCTTTCCCCCCTGTGGCTCCCACAGAGCTGTGGTTAGTGCTGCCAAGGAGCAGGGCTGGCACCACAAAGAGCTGCTTGTCCTCTGCTCACCTGGAGCAACAAAGCTGGGGGAGAGGAGAGCTGCTAGGCAAGGAGGAACAAATATAGAGGAACAGATGGAGGAAAAGGAGAGAAATATCACACATGATCTGGAGAGAAAGAGCTAGGGGAAAGATGAGGGTACTGAGAACTGCATGGAGACACAGTGAGGGAGGGTTTGTTAGATTCATCAAGCCTTCAGTTTGACCCCAATGTTGTCCCACAAGGAGCAGGCAGAGAGGGGTGGGCAAATGGTCCTTCAGGTTTAGCAGCAGAAAAGAATATGGGGCTCTAGACAGACAACTGTCCTTGCCCTTCCTAGGGCTCTGTTTCAAGGCACAAGAGAATCAGGACAATGCTCCGATTTGCTCAAGCCTTGCCTTGTGCTGGCCCCTTCCTCTCTGCACACGTGGGGCAGCTCAAGCACCTGCAGGTGCTCCAAGGAAACTGTGGATGTTCCTGGCACTGTACCTCTGAAAGTCAGGCTTTCATTAACAAGGCTCTGCCTCCTGAAGGTGTGCTGGCTGCTCTCACTCCAGGGACAGCTGTGAATTGTGGCCTCCTCACCTTTCTCTTTGGAGAAGGTGCTTGCTGGGTGTGCTTTTCCCTTGCTGGTGGGAGGCTGGTGTGCAGAGAAGTTTGTGAAGGTTTCAGGTTATCCTGGGTTAAACAGATGATTCCCCTGGGGTGGGCTGTGCAGGAGGAAGAGAAATCGTGTGGCTGTGTCTGCTGAGCAGTGGGGAGCAGGGGGACGTGGCAGGGGGATGGGGAGGGGAGAAACTCCTTGGCAGACCCTGAGTGCAGATCACTATTGCCCAAGCCCCGCGATGTCACATCCCTTGTCTCTGCTTGTCAGGGCTCTCAGAGCACCTTGACCCCGATTTATCACCCCTGCTTTCCCCCCTGTGGCTCCCACAGAGCTGTGGTTAGTGCTGCCAAGGAGCAGGGCTGGCACCACAAAGAGCTGCTTGTCCTCTGCTCACCTGGAGCAACAAAGCTGGGGGAGAGGAGAGCTGCTAGGCAAGGAGGAACAAATATAGAGGAACAGATGGAGGAAAAGGAGAGAAATATCACACATGATCTGGAGAGAAAGAGCTAGGGGAAAGATGAGGGTACTGAGAACTGCATGGAGACACAGTGAGGGAGGGTTTGTTAGATTCATCAAGCCTTCAGTTTGACCCCAATGTTGTCCCACAAGGAGCAGGCAGAGAGGGGTGGGCAAATGGTCCTTCAGGTTTAGCAGCAGAAAAGAATATGGGGCTCTAGACAGACAACTGTCCTTGCCCTTCCTAGGGCTCTGTTTCAAGGCACAAGAGAATCAGGACAATGCTCCGATTTGCTCAAGCCTTGCCTTGTGCTGGCCCCTTCCTCTCTGCACATGTGGGGCAGCTCAAGCACCTGCAGGTGCTCCAAGGAAACTGTGGATGTTCCTGGCACTGTACCTCTGAAAGTCAGGCTTTCATTAACAAGGCTCTGCCTCCTGGACGTGTGCTGGCTGCTCTCA